CGGTCCAAAAATCTGTGGCGCAACTTATTATCAAATATCAAGGCTACCGAACTATCAAACATAGATATAGATTCTCCTACTTTTGCACAATGACTAAGATCTACATCAATTCGTCTCTACAGATGAGTATTTTTTTTTTTACATTTGTACACATACATGTATATTATTCTAGAAATTTCTTTAAAGAAAATTCTTTAATAAATAAAAACCCAGTCAATGGTTTCTACAGATTTTAAAAAGTTTACAGCTGGAGTTAAATCTCTTTTAAAAGCAAGTCCGTCCTTTTTTCTACTTCTGCTGGCGACATAAAGCCAATTATTGAACGCATGTTTTGAGAACATTAATTAGATCTAGTGAAAAAAATATGTTCAGTGTAAAACCAATTTCTTGTAACAAGTTTTGGTACTAAAAAATGACGTAGGTCATATGCATATGCAAAATGTGTGTGGGAAGCTGGAAGTGCTGTGAACAATCCCATCTGCGTTACGAATTTTTTTTTACAGTTCTGCAGATCATATATTTACTACTCTGCTATGTCTGCTTTTTCTGTTGTTGCACTCAAAAACACAACAATTTAAAACCATAATTCCAATCTCCAGGTTGCACAGTGAATTCTGAAACTTAAAATTACAAACTAGGCAGTAAATGTTCCCCTTTTCACTCCTTGGTAAAAGCCGCTCTTGTTTTAAAATCTATGGGGTTACTTCCGAAAACGATAAATCTTGTCCTCACTACGCCTTTGTTTTCGTTCTTCAATTCCTCACAGGTTACATGGTACAGTGGCCGTTCTATGAGTGTAGAATTCTGTGGCTACAGCAGATGCTCAGTTCGGCACGATGAACAATGTGCAAGACCAAACTAAATAATGTGTTTTCTTTTTCCTTTCCCGCCTCGTTTTCAACAGCTATAGTACAATAGGCCTAGGATAGCGTGTTGATAACGGGACGAAAATAGACAGGGGTGGATTCGGGAATGCACAGTGATCATTTAATGATATTGATAAATGACATTTACATACCGCCCATTAACCCTGATTTAAGTACACAGGCTCTTAGCACTTTACAATACAGTACAACGTACAACCGTAACATAAAACGTTGTGTTCTGACTGGAAGAAAATTACTCCAAATATTCATCAAAAACAGAAACGACTTCAGATGACATTTGGATGAATCGAAAGATTTGATCTCTCCACTTTATCTGTACCGAACTCTGTTTGTTAAGGCAGGATACAGGCTCACTCAGCGCAAAGACAACAGTCAATAGAGGTTAGTAAAAATCCGGATAATCCAAAAGGATAACCGGATAATTTTTAATGAAACATTATCCGATTTCAGACTCTAAACTCTCTTTCCTGACCCGTTTGCCGAAGTGGGTGCACCCATTTGTTGAAATGATAATAACCCGTTTGTCAAAGTGGTTCTAACCCATTTGCCGAAGCGGTTCATATAATATTTTTAGCCGAAGAGGTGCACTAAAATATTATCCGGGTTTTGCTGAAGCGACTCATTGCCCAGCTCTGGAGGGGGCGGGGGTGTACATAATGTATAATAATATACAGTATAAACAATGCTACGACAAACGACAAAGCACACGATGACACAGTACGTACGGTTCGGCCTATCCTGTCTTTTTTATATATAAATATAATATACATATATACAATGTATTATATATGTATATATAGTTATATAGTTATACATTTTGAGAGTGTGCGTGC